GTTGTAATGTGACAAAATATGGAAAAGTTCAAGGGGTATGAATACTTTTGCAAACCTCTGTATATTGCATGACTTACTGCCAGCAAGTGGGAGTCAAATTGAACTGCTGAATGAAATAAGCTTCCGCTAATTTTTCCACTGCATGTGTGCTTTTGATGTTGCGGACTTAAATATATACATAAGCGCTTTAAAAATTGCGGAGCTAACTTTTTTATTAGTGGTGCCCACCACTGCATATCAATGTTCTTTACACAAACTGCTGCTCATTTGATGCACATTTCATCAAAACAAAGTTATTATGCCCTACCTTTACTTATAACTTAAGTCCATGCACCGCTGAAAATATCCCATCTGAGTCCACAGCTGTCACAAGTTGAAAAATGGCAGGGTGACATCCACACAGTGTCCAACTGTTTCAGAAGAGCTTTACCCCGGATTTACATTACTTGTGTTCCGTTCTTGTGAGAAATTCTGTTCCTCTGTGAAAATCTGTTCCCCCTGTGTCGGGAGCGCGCATTGCAGCCAGAGAGGTAGATCCGGCGGATCTGACCATTTTCACGGCGCTTCTGATCGATTTCTCGGTAAAAACTACTCATATAATCACGTCAATGTTGTAACTTACAGTTTAATCAGCAGCTATCAAAATAAAAATACATACAAAAATAAATGAGGTATTGTGTGGAGGTCTTTTTCCACTGTTTTGTGTTATTTTAAACGCGAAGAGAATCAATCTTTTTTTTTCAGCTTTTGTCTCGTAAGCCTGACAAACAAAAGTCAACAAACACAGGTTTCCAACACGTAGTGTGCATTTATAATTTTTCATTTCTGATAAAGGAGGGAAGCTGGCCGATTGCAGGGCACAAAAATAAAGACTTCCTAAAAAGATCAGAGTGTAAACTTTTTGGTCAATCCCGTTCCAATGTAAAATATGACAGATTACTGGATTAAGGAAATGTCTAGTATGCTACCACACATACATAATAATTTTTGAGAATTTGGAAACAGTTGCTTTTTATTTCCAAYGATATGGGACGAGAAGAGGAGAGAATGGATATTTCAGCTGCCTGATCTGTTCCCCCTCCATGAAATGGAAACAAATTAATTTACTTGCAAGTCTTTTTTCCGTGTTTATTCCCCTCATCTTCAACAAGAAATCCTGCAAGTTTGAAAACATTTGCTCTTTTTTTTTTTTTTTTTTTTTTTGCCAAAGTTAGGATGGGGGAACAAAATATTTTAAATGTCTGATATAATCTGTCCTCCCTCTATAAAATGGAAACAAATTAATTTACCTGCAAGTCTTTTACTGTGTTCATTCCCCTCATCTTCAACAAGAAATCCTGTGATTTTCATAAAGTTTGCTCCTTTTTTAAAGGGTTAAAGCAGGGGAACCGTATATTTTAGATGTCTGTAATGATCCGTTCTCCCCATAACATCTCCCCGTTTAAAATAAATATGACTGTTGGTTTGACGATCTTTATGAAATGTATTTTATGTTTAAATATTTATCAACAAATTTTGTGATATTTTCACTCATAGGAATGATGTCCACTCTCAGTAGATATACTTAAACTTCTTTTTAATGCTCTTCACAGCTTACAGTTAAGAGTACCAGTTCTGTATAACACATGGGGTAACTTCTTCTGCTCTAAATCTCCTGCAGTAGCTTTTAGGTTTTTTTCGGCTACTGCCTCTAGTGGTGTTGGGTGGTAACACAACCCAAAACAAAAGATTACTAAATCAGGATACCACATTCCTCCACCTTTAAGAGTAAACTATGCCGGTGCAATTTAACATCACCCAACCCTCAACTGGTCACAAAACATACTACCTGAAATTATTTATGTCAAAAATGTCTTCTTAGCTGCAGCAGGAACATACAAAATTCAAACAGTCCTTCGCAAAACAAAATAACAAATTCAGTTTTTTTAAAACACAACACAATTGGGTAGACAACCATCCTTCCAGTGAGTCCCAGAGCGCATTCTTGCTCTTACTTGAGGGAGCTCACTATTTACTCACAAAATCTCTTAGATAAGGAGTCTGTTTCCTACGCTCAGAGCGGCGCAGGACTGGTGGTGGATCTGCTTTGGCATCCGTYGCTACTGGTTTCTCTGCTGGAGAATGAACCTGAGCTGCTTCCACAAGCTCTTCCATTTCCCTTCCCTTCCCACTGAAGATGAAACAACAGAGACTGTTGGCCTGTGAACCATCTCCTGTTCTGGAACCTGAAGATTATAGGGCTCCCTAGTCATGTCAAACCCAGATGTTCCCACCACTGRCGCATGTCGTTTTCGGATTTGGTCCACATGATGTCGTAAGACACGTCCATCTCCTGTCTGCACAGTGTAAG